TTTAAAAAAATAAAAAAAAAAAAAAAGAAGGGGGCAATTTTGACTCATATTTGACCCATGTTTTTAAAAAAAAAAAACGGTTTTACAACACTCAAAACTAATAAAAAGGTTTCCATTTATTTTAAAAAGCCACAGAAACAGAGAGAAGCATTCTTTGTCATGCTTACAGCACAAATATTGTAGCATTGAACTAGTGTATAAGAAACTAAACCAGTGAAAATTATTAGAGACCAACTAACTATAAAAAGAAGTGAAACACATTAGTCCATATCCATTGCCAAACTGAGTCAATACAAAAGAGAAACCACCAGCATAAGCAGTGAAAAGTAACAGATTATCAAAGACGAAAGAATGTTATTCATCTAAGGTGCCTATTCTCACGACAAATAACACATCAGATGCAACAGAGGTGAGAAGGATTTTTTTTAAATACATTTTTAAACAGATAGTGTCACTTAAAAATGTTAAGGGATTTTCAATGCAAAGTGTCTCATCTCTAGTCCACAAAAAAACACTCCCTAAACCGTGCTGAAAACTGTCCCAAATACCACTTCTGATATGCTACCTATATTTCATGGACCTAGGATACCAATTTATCATTTAATATCTTCCCCCCTTCTCCAATAATTTATAGCACTGTGCTGAGTTTTTCCAACTGCGTGCAGAGTAGCTCTAGAAAGCTCCAAAACAAACTCAAACATGGGTATAATCTGAAGTTATAAATATTTTCAATCACTACAATTTACATACACGATTAAACATGCACATGTTAGTGATCAAGCTCCTTCAAAGAACAGCTAATAATAGCAGTTATTGTTTGGAAAGAAAGTAAGCAAAAATGGTCAGTGACCAACAATGGTTATTAAAAAGCAAAAGTAATTGTACTACTGTCACTTCATCAGTACAGAACTGAACCATTTGGAAGTATTTTTAAAAAACAAGCCAAGAAGAGTGGTTCAAGCCACAGTATCTTAGAGATAATACCAGGGGATTAATACAATATTCCACTAACGCTAAACTTCGAGTAGATAGACAGACATGGATGTGAATCAAGATCCCAGTCACTGCCATTTTAGGACCAGATCCTGCAAGCTGATCCCGTTGGGCAGACCTCTGAACCCAGGAGCCCCACTGATTTCAACAGTTCTGTGCAGGCACAAATGTCTACCAGTATAGAGCATCCTGAAGTCAATGGGGCTCTAGGTGGGCACAAAGGTTAAACCCACACGGATCAGCATGCCGGATCAGAGTCTTGCGTTCGTCTTACTTGGGGGCTGCCTGATACACCAAGCGCTGGTATTTCTGAAGCATCTGTTAATGATTTAGGAGAACAGAAAGATTACATATTCCTCCTACATGTTACAGTTATTTCTCAGAGTAAGACTAGAAGTCAGTTTCCTGTTTGGGATTGTTTAAGTAAATATAAACTGGTACAAACTTCCAGTCATGGGCCTGTGCGGCTTGAGGACAAAAATACATTTTAAAGAAATCTTGAACATTACCGCGTCTCTGATCTTGAGTATAGCATCAACCACTAGGATACCGGTGCCTAGAGAGAGTTGGGAATGGGTATGGGTTGGCCTTGGTTGGAAATGAGTGAGAAGCTCTTGAGTTCTTCAATTCTTATCCATCTCCTCTGCTGTTTCATAGGCTCTCAAATGGACTTGTGAAGGAGACATCATAACCAGCACAAAAACCAGGTAACAAACTTGCATCCTCCTCCTATCCCCTGGAACTTACTGAAGCCTCTTTGTGGTTCTGAGACTCCACAAGAGTACACAAGGGATGTTTGTTCCACTCCGGGTAAGGGAATCCATCAGATTAGAGAGATTTAAAAAAAGGCAGCAGCTTGTCTAGATAGAAAATCTTAAGTGCTGTTTAAAAAGAAAATAAGAACAAATGTAAAGCTGAGAAGCTCCATAAAGAGGAGAAATTATAGATGTGATTGAAATACCAAATTTCCCTTTTCTGATCTTATTTAGTACTTTAAAAAAAACAACACCACTCAAAGGAACCAGAAGTGTTTAGAAGGATATATCTAAAAAAACCCTTGATGAAGCCACTTACTGATAAATTGCATTTGAAGCCAAGTAAGTGCATCTCTTAGGACATTGTTTTTATGGCTAGAATAAATTTTACCCTTCCTAGGAACACAATGCTTTTTGCAGATATTTTACCTATTATTCCTAAACTAAAGAGAGTTGGTTTAGCTCCTTCTAGCAGCTTAGCAGGAAACAATTAAAATTTCCAAGCTATTTGTATATCGACAGTTGGCAACGATCGTTCCAGTGTATAAAGAGAATGGGAAAATAGCTATGCATTTCTGAAATGCTTCCAGAAAATTTCCTTTGAGAACACATACAGTGAAAAGTATACAAACAGGCAGTAAACATGAATGTAATTTAATAAACATCCAGTAAGCTATATGGTGTGATAAATAGGTAATAAGGTTGTAATATGGGTATTTAGCTATCAGCTTCCAGAGGATCTGGAAGCTAAAACTAACAATAATACTTTCATTAGACTCTCCTGCCTAGCATCAAGAGCCAATTTCCACCTATTAATATGGATTTCTATTACCTGCCTTGTGAATACTGTTAACCCATTTATCAAGCAACAAGCCATACTTTTGTGACTTATTACACGCAGAGAGGAAGCAGAAGGGTTGCTAAACCCGTAACATTAGAGCATCAGATTAAATTATTTGACCTAGAAGCTAAGAACACGCCACTTAAATTTAAAATGATAAAATTGCTCACATTAAGGCTAATAAGACCTCTTGCAGGATCAAATCTTTCCTTGCTGCATCAAACGAAAAAAACCTGTCACTAGCTGCAGACTAATTGTAAACTTAGTGCATGCGTAATTAAACATGCCTCATTGGTTCTCTTGATATGTCAATAGCAGTAGGAGGAGGTTGATTTAAGCTAAATGGCTGAAGTCTCAGCGAACATTGTCCCTTTCTGTGTCCTCTAAGCAAAGCTTCACTTAATGAAATAGCCCCAGCCAAATATGAGAAGCCCACAATTAACTACTTATTATTCTGATTGCAGCAGTGCCCAACGTATTCCTGGCACTTTCCAAGAGCAAAGGAGATGCAGGGCCAAATGATGATGTCGATGGAATTACATTGAGAGCAAAGATTGTCCCAGAGAGTGTACCAGAAAGAAAAACCCACAACATTTCAGGGGGAAGGGATGTAGTATATAAATCAAGTAACCAGGGTGATGACCATTTTTTTCTTCTTTTGACTCAACAAGGAAATATCTGATCCTCCAAGAAGTCTTATTAACCTTAATGTGTGGCTGGCGATTTAAATAATAATAAAAATAGTCATCTGTTGCAGTACGTCTCTTTTTGTTTGAATGACATACGATTGGCAGTTTCCCTGTATCTTGTGCACACAGCTCAGTGGGGCCAAAAGGGCTCCAAAAACACAAGCACCCAAGTAACAGCATCTCTCCTTCCCATCTTGTTTTAGACCATGCAGTGTGTCAGTGAACTGTATAAAATGTCATAAAGCAAATAAGCTGTTCATTATGTTCCTCCGTGAAGTTACGGTACCATAAATACATCTCAGTAGGGTAGATGGTTGAATCTCACTTGGTTGAACAACGTTTCATTCTTTTCAGAGATGAAGGGAATCCTGCGGCTTTGTGAAACAGATTTAATACACAGAGAGACAAGGTGGGTGAGGCAATGTCTTTTAGTGGACTAACTTTTGCTGGTGAAAGAGAGAAGCTTTTCAGCTACACAGAACTCCTCTTCAGGTCGTCTTCTACTGCCAACAACAATGGAAGTTATCGAATTAATACAAAGTAATTTCTCTGTTGCATTTTAACTTTTGGTGCACAGCGGCAAGTTTTATTCTTTTGAACATGCTCTTTTTGATGGATTATTTGTCTCGGACCTTAGTCCATTTCTGTTAATGTTTTGGTTCAGTGCAAGGATGTGTAACCGACGTAGTCTTAGAAAGCATTTGTTTATGTGGGTATGTCTGTACATTCACAATGTAAAGGGGGGGGGAACCCTAAGAATGTGAAAACAGTGTTTCTGATGAGGCAAGAAGAAGGGTCTTTATTTAGAAGATTTACATTATAGGCAGATCATGATACCACTGAAATCACAGGACTTGTGTCAATAACAACTTCAACAGAAGAGGGGTTGAGATCCTACATTGATGGAGCCCTTGCGTATCAATTCTCAAAATTAATGCAGTATGGTATCTGAAAAACTGGATCCCAACATGCACTCTGATAAAAGCACTACAGGTCTTTGTCTTGCATTAAAATGAAGCCTTGCCAACCTAGTTCTGTATTTGTCTAGCATAGCCCAACTACAAAATGACTTCAGTGGCCAACACTCAAAAAGGACACAGCCCTGCAGAACGGAGGCATGTTTTAAATTATGTCCTGTTAAAGCAGTGGAGATTCAACCTATACATGCTGTATTGATGCTTAGCTCATAGGAGAGCGAGAAAAGAAGCAGCAGCTCTAAAACTTTACCCTGTGAACTTGCACTACTTGATATAAAGATCCAAGTCTCAATTATCAAATTCAAGGAAAAGTCCAAAGACATGAACTTTGCAATAATAAACTACTCTTCAGAAGAAGTATCCTTAATTCTTCTTCCCAAAAAACTGTAGGCATACCGCACACGTCGTAACTTAAAACACTTTTTCTGCTGAACTTCTAAACCCCTTGACTTTAATGAGGTCGTGCACCATTTGATTTTAATTACAGATATTTTTACACCCTAAATTTGACTAAAAATGATGCGATTTACAAAGCAAACAAGCCAGTTAAACAAAGCTAATTACATTCACTGGAGACAGACTTGCTTTTCCCCTCAGTGAGTGTTTATTTCAGCTCCCAATGCTCTGATAGCTCCTGACAGCTTGCTGGGACACAAGAAAGAAGTAGGTCAGGGTAAGCCGGAATCAGCAACAGAGGCTCCCATTAGACAGGCTTGTAGAGTAATACCGAGATCGAGGAAGTGTGTGATGTAGTGACAGTGTTAGAGACACATAACAAACAGCCTGAGGACAGCCTCCAGCAGAACCGGTACATTTATCTTCTCTGTGTTATAATGACCCCTCATGTAGCTTATCCAGTTTGTGATTCCTAATACAGGGCATGCTGCAGAAACCTCATGACAAAAATGGACTTGCAGTTTGCAATATTATGCAAAGCCAGAGGCAACACTAGTACAGCTTCTCTTCCCACAGAGCTCTTACTTCCCCTTCAGGGTATAAGGCATGCCAGTTTCTATAGGCATTCATCTATTAATATAAGCAGAATATGTCCACCCTCACTCCAACTTGCAATGCAGCTAGGTATCCTACTCTCTACACAGATCAAACAATAATAGACTCATTTCTCTTAACCAGCTTTTAAAATACTGTATAGATGATTATGCTTTAAGTGACTATACTGTACCAGAAACTATCAAACAGTCAGTAGCAAGAAAAGCTGTTATGGCAGCCAGTCGGTGTGATGAAATTGTGCTATGATGTATAAAATGATGCCACTTCCTTCTGAAGTAGGGATAAAAAGGACTATTGATTGCCTGGCTTCTCAATAAAAAAAAAATTCTAAATGGGAGCTACATTGGGCAATACAGATCACAGCACATACAACGGCTTGGAAAGTGCATTCTTTCACCACAGCACTGCTGGATTTGGGAGCAGTTATTGGCAGATAGGACAAGCAAAGAAGCCTGTGGTTTTTACTCAGTTTCTCAGCAGGGATTGCTATGTTATGAAGAAACATCAGCAGGACTGGGGAAGAGAACAATTTTTGTTTAAAATCTAAAACTTAAGTCTCTCATGATGTTAGACTTCTTTATGGAAGGAGATTTTTTTTTTAAATTAGATACTCCCATATATCTGGACATTTGTTTATACAACTCTCCCCTCCTCCAAAGAGTGACTTGGCAATGAGAGCAGAAAACACAGTATCATAAAATCTGCAGTGTAATATTAAAGTTGGAGGTAAGTGGAATAGCAGAGTCCTAACTCCTCTGGTTCTCATTACTAGTGCTCACACTATTAAAAGTTCAAAGTCTATCATACAGTACCTGACAGCCCTCTGCACAGACCAAACCACTTCAATTATATGAGTCAATTTCTCTGCCTTACTTATAAAAGGATATATATTTTCTTGAACTCAAAGCTGTGTACTTTCCTTTAAAAGAGAAAAAAAAAAGAGTGATATCTTGGAAAATAGGTAAGTTTGACAGAAACAATTTAAACTGCCATGGGCATAAACAAACACAAATGGAGAATGTTGGTTTATTTTGTTCTGAGCGCCATACATTTCCTGTGCTTAGAGAGGTCTCAGATAACTACTTTGCTGTAAGGGCATGAGCTACTCAATGACCAGAAATGGAGGCGTTTGTCCATCCCAAACAGCTTGCATTATTTTAAAAGTTTAATTTTTACCACCGACTTCATATTCATAATCTATTTATTAATAATATATCTGAGTCAGTATTATTCTATCCTTAGTCTCTATTTATCTGAACTTGAGTACAGTACAATTCATGTACCTACCCCTTGGTGTTTGGGGTGGGGTCATGCTATATGGACTTTTCTATCCATCCTGTATTATTAGTCAATAGGAGGGCCCATCTCTACAGTTTTTACTCAAGTAAACAGTCCCACTAAGCTCAGGGAACTCTTGCTTGAGTGAGGTCTGTTTGATCAGGCCCTAAACATCTACATATATACCTCTATCCTGATAGAATGCGACCTGATATAACACGAATTCTGATAGAATGCGGTAAAGCAGCACTCCGGGGGGGCAGGACTCCGCGCGCTGGCGGATCAAAGCAAGTTCGATATAACACGGTTTCACCTATAACGTGATAAGATTTTTTGGCTCCCAAGAACAGCATTATATCGGGGAAGAGGTGTAATCCCTAACCAATTAAAGGTCTAAATAAACAGTAATCTAAAGAAAATATGCAGCAAAATCAGAGCATTAAAAATGAGACAATTAAAATGATCAGGGCACTAATGCTTATAAGGAAGGAAGGAAGCTTTTAACAGCACTAAAATATAAAATTGATTTGTACACATATTTGATAAAAATCAATACAATTAGCAGTAACTGAATACTAGAAAGGGAAATTGATTGCTCAGAGACCCAGAGGAATATCAGTTCATTCTTCTAGATCCTCCACTCTTAATAAAAATTCTCTTTTTCATAATCCTGCCTAAATTCTTTCCCCGTTGATAACACCATTAAACAGCTATTCTTTTATTCCTATTATCTACAGTTCTGCTTGAATCACATTTAAAAGTCATTTTAGAGTGGCATATTCTGGTCATTTTGCTATCTGACGTACAATCCTCCAAGCGGTAGCACAGAAGAATACTGGCTAATGAGCGGAAGCAAAGAAACGCAAGAGAAGAGCTTATCAAATTAAATACCAAAGTTTAAATAAATGGATTGCCAGATAACTGATTTGCTTCATCAATTTAGTCTGTTTCTGCTGATCCCTCAGTTCTTTCTCAAAAGGAGAATAAAAAGCTTGTCCAAACAAATAAACATTTTGAACCAAAACCTAGCAATGAGAGAGCAAGGCTGCACAGCTCAACTCTCCTGTCCTGCCTCTTGAATGATACCTCACCATAGAATGTTAAGGCTAGAAGGAGCGATTCCAAGAACAGCAGGATACTGAATTTATAGTCAAATCTAGACTAGACAAAGTGGTTTCCGATAGTTTCTCTCCAAAAGCTCAAGCCTGCAAGAGAGGAGAGGAGTCTCAGCAAGTCATAGCAGATACTCTCTGCCCTGCAGGATTAGGCCCCCAGCAGAAGGTGCAGGCAGATAGAAGGCTCAGGGCTGAATCAGTGGAAAGCATTTCTTCCTTATTCTGGATCTTGCATAGCAATAACTTGGGCACAAGTAAGAACAGAAACTAACTTCAAACAAAGAATATTTTCTTTCAGTTATAGATTAATGCTCCAGCCACTGTCCCGGGACCAAAGGAAGGTGCCTAACTAGTGCAGGTTTCAGGCTAGGACAAATTTCCCTTTCTGCACCAGTGTAGGTCTGGTGGGACTAAGAACCAATAGTTCTACCAAATGCAGAGAGACACTTCAGGCTTCACCTTGGAAGGTTCTGCTTCCCAAAGAGAGGTTTCACGTTACATCCAACCAAGCTGGATAGTCTGACAAAAGATGGACATCACATTGTCACTTTACACAGGTCTGAAAAGGAGGTTTTTTCCCTTGAGATTCCTCCTTGGATACGAATTGCTTCAGCTGTTAAGCTTTCCGAATTGACTCCTCTTGATATAAATTCTCAAAAGCCAAAAACTGCTGACAGGTTTTAACTGTTCATGAAAGATCCTGATTGAGCAATTTACTTTAAGCACACGCTTAACTTCAAGCACGTCAGTAGTCCTACTGAAGTCAAGGGGTACTGAATGAATAGTCAATGAGATTACTCACATGCTTAAAGTTCAAGCAAAGCGCTTAAACATATGCTAATCAGGGACCAAAGGAATAACATCAAGAAATCAGAGGCCAAAATAAAAAGGTAGCCCTACTTCAGGATCACCATGTTTGCTTCGGAGGGAATTCATGAATCACACCTCTCTCCATACACTCACACCTCAAGACCTATCATTCCTTGAGATAGGACATCTGGCTGAGAAGAGGCCTACAGAGAGAGTGTTCAACACCCAAGCAAAAGAAATCCTGAGGAGAGAAGCTCCATATGGTTGAGTCAGAGATTGCAATGTCAATGGAGGAGAACACAGAATCTCAATCTGAAAAGATGAAATTGAACTCAAGGTACTTGGAGAAACACCAATGGAACAGTTTGAACCTTCCACCAGTAACCTCAGCTAAGTTCTCTAGGACTTCCTCAAGACTTTACCTCAAAGCCTCTCTCAGTTTTCTTCTCTCAAGGAAGAAATATTACCATGCTACAGGAGTAGAAACCAGGAACTCTTGAATTCTAAGGGCTTGTCTTCACGTACAGCGCTGCAGCTGTGCCGCTGTAGTACTTTAGTGAAGACACTACTTCGCCAACAGCAGAGTTTCTCCCATCAGCATAGTTAATCCACCACACCAAGAGGTGGTAGCTATGTTGACAGGAGAAACTCTCGGGGGTTAAGTTGCTATAACTACGTTGCTCAAGGGCATGAATTTTGCACACCCTGAGTGACACCGTTATATTGATACATTTGTAGCATAGACCTGGCCTAATTCTAGATTTCTTTGCAGCCTTCTTCAAATCTCTTCAGTCTCTTTGCCTTACGTTCCCCATCATCATCTGTAAAATGGGAAGACCAATACTTAATTTTACCTCACTCACAAGCATCATGTGAAGATTAATTGGTGGATATCTGTAAAGTGTTCTAGAGATAAAAAGTGAATGAGGACTCCAGAAAGAACTGCAAGTTCCTCTAGCCAGCCAATTTATGAACCATTCCTTCCTGGATCAGTTACAGCTAAATGAATACTAATCAAGAACGTTCAAGCTTCCTGAACATAGGAAAGAGAATATTCCCATTCCAGAAACCACCATAGTTTCAGACTGAATGCCACCTAAAGCTTGGTATT